GGTGCTTGCTTCTTCGTCTCCAGCTGAATGACTTTTTGGGGGGCAGTCCAAGAACTGCACCTCAGCCAGGACATGGCTATTTCAGTAGAGTGAAGGATTGCATGTGTTTGCTGCTGAAGCCTTTTAGGTTGCGTGTAAGCTCACTGTATCTCAAATGAATTGAGAGGAGAGAGTAAAATAGATTTTAGCTACTGTCATCTTCATTTATCTTCTAGTGCTCTGTAGCTTTGTGGGTGGCTCTTGAGGGTTTTTGGAGAAAAAAATAAAACTTTTAACTCATGCTATAGGAGATGTGGAATATTTGCCCTGAACATGGTGATGAAGGGCAAAAATTCTCTTAAGCTCTGGAAAATAGTCAGAGCTCATTTTTGAAAAGTAAGAGAAGACCCAGGCTCGGATAAGATTTTCTTGGCTTTTGTGGTGTATGTTGTTTTTTCAGGAACATCTAAACCAGCCAGGCTGTGACAGGAGGAGGAAGGAATCCACCTCCAGGTAGTTTCCTGACCCTGAGAGGGAAAGTCTGGGAAGAAACAAGGGTAGGAAGGGTAGGCTATAGGTCGCTGATAGCTCCAGCAGGGGTGGAGCTACAATGTAAAATGGGGTTGTCCAGAGGCTGGAAGAAGTCTTCTCTGCAAGAGTAACATTTTGAGTTTCCACAAGCTGAGTGCAGTAGGGGGAAGCATTCCCATTGCTTCTAATCAGACCTTGAAGCAGGCTAACACAAAATCAGTTTGTGTGCAAGGGTTGTCTTGCAGGAATTAATTTTACCTGCAACCTAGATTTGAGAACCAAATTAGACCTGTTTTCTCAGTAGGGTGATTCTAATAGTGTGAAGGGTTAGCCCTTGGCTGGGGCCAAACCACACACACCCACTCACACAATTTCCGCCCCCACCCAATGACAGGGGAGAGAATAAAAGGGGTAAATGGAAAAGAGGACTCGTGGGTTGAGATAAGGACAGTTTAATAGCTAAACTACAACAATATTGAAAATAATACTATATACAAATATACAAATGAGTGATACACAGTGATACTGCCCCCCCCTCCACCTGATGACCAAAGGCTCAGCTTGTTGCTGGCTAACGATCCCAGAACTACGCTCACGATTCCCCCAGACGGGGGGTGCACCGCTCCCGGAGGCACTCACAGAACGGAGATAACAGTCCGAGAGTCTGTGTCTGGCCCCAGCTAATGATCCCAGAGCAGGGTGGGGGGGGAAGGCCTTGGGAGGGCAATGCGGAGCCAGAAGAGAGGACTGAAACCGAAAGCCACTGGAACCAGGATGCAAAGGGCAAAAGAGAACGATCTTCCGGGGGTCCTCACCTATATACTGGGCATGACGTGTATGTTATGGAATAGATTATTGGTCACTGTGGTTCTCAATCTAGTAACTGAAGAACAAATCCTGGGGTAACAGCCCAGCCCTCCTCGCCCCCTGCCCTGTCTGCGGAGAGCAGAGAGGCTGAAGGTATCTGTCCTTGAAATCCTATCAAAAACTATAAACGTTCCTTTCTTACCAACTTTTCTCCTGAGCATAAATCCACAACACAGCCTCTTGCTAAGCTCTCTGCTTAACCCAGGACAAATAGCATAGTCAAAGGAATTCAAAGTGTGGTTAGGAATGGATAATGCTTAAGCTAAGTGGTCTTGTGCATGGTGCCTGTGAGTTAGCGTCAGTATTGTATGACTCCTGAGCAGAGTTTACAGCTCAATGAGATATGTTAATAATGTGGATTTTTCAGTTCTAAAGCAGGAAATGACCAAATGCTGGTCACTAGTTTGTTTCCTGTTCAAAGGGGTACAGCTGAACAGCTTTGTGTATGTTTCCATCTGACCTTTCATGCAATATATGGCTTAAATGACTCTATGGCACAGAAGTGAGTTGGGTAGTCCAATTTGTTCTTGCTTACACATCTTCCAGATTCTGGTGAAAGATGGATTTCAAAATGCCTCTTTTGAAATAGCTGGCTTGCTCACTCTCACCCTGGGAACACTTTTGGTTAGCGTTGCTACTTCTTAGCTGCCTGCTGTCCTGTTCATGTGAGCTGATGAAAGTTAAAACTTGTCTTTCAGTTCAGGCTGGATTAGCTCCCTGGTCTGCCTCGTAACAGTCACCAGAATGCCTCTATGCAAGAGTGGTAGAGAGAAGGTATTTTCCTGGTGTTAATTCTCTGTTGAACTGTGTGTTGGGTGTTCTCAATCATGCTAACTTCAGAGGTGGTTTTATCAACATGGTGTGTTTTACAGTAGCTTTTAATGAGATACTTCAAAGTATCTTGCACGTGGTATTTAAAGCAGAGATCTCATTTGATTAAATAACTACTATTTTATTTCCTCGCAGAATCATTGTGCCTGTAAATATAGTGGCTGATGGCTTTGTTTCTTCTGCAAGTACATCATATTTTACTGTTTTTTGCTAAAGAAACCTAATGTATGTAGTTTGGCTGCTTCTAGTGAGAATTATGAATTATTTGTGTCTCTTGGGTGAATTTTTAGGTTTATGCATGTTGATTCAATGAGACTTAGGTTTATTTTTCTGCTGATAAACTCTGTTTTACTTGTAGATATTTTGCATAGGTGCTCATGGAGATAACTTTGCAAAAATAGTGTGGTTTTGTGAAACTGAATGCTTTGTAAAAACATGAGTAATAGTTGTATTCAGAGGTGAGAATGAAGCATGCTAATGACAAATTTACTTAATCAAGAATCTATTACAATTTAATGGTAATTATAATGAAAGGCAGCCAGTCTTAAGAGAGCGCCCTATTTGCTCACCCAGTAGCACAGTATTAGTGTGGAGTGTGGAAGAACATGTGTGTCTTCCCAATTCTTTTTTTTTTCTCTCATTTCTTTACAAAAAGTTCCTAAAGATACAGATGTATCTCATGTGTGATTCACCCTGATTACTGTAAATAATACCAGCTGTCTTCACCTGTCTCCCAGCATTCCTGGAGCATTCGGAATGAGAAAGGGTGAAGGAAGGATCAATCACATCCACTGTGTAACTTGATGACATACAAGTTTGATTATTGATTTTTTTCCTCTTTTGTTGCTTTGTTTGAAAAATCACTGGGTTAAGATTTAGAGGTAATCTGGGTCAATATTCTGTTTATATCAGTGTGATTTTTAATAGTATTTTTAAAGTTGTGCTTTGATCCAAATCATCACTTTAAATATACTTAGTTTATTCAGAGTCTGAGATGAGTAGCCATTGTGCTGTTGCTTATTAAGCAACATCTGGAAATTTACCTTATTTAGCACTACTTTGCCCAGTTGTAACTCTTTCCGTGTATTAGTGGATTTGGTGGGTTAATCTGTGTGCCCTAAAATATGGCATACTTCATGCCTAGACAGAAGCGTCTAACTAATCATTTGAGTAATTTTTACAGAATGACATGAATGACACTTGTAGCCCTTTTTGGCTTTCCTTTCCCCTGCTCCTCCCAGCAGAGTAAACCCAGAGCAACTTCATTTGCCCTAACTGCAGTTTAGGGTCAGCAGGCAACGAACTCAGCAGTGGTTTAAAATCTACACATACATTTTCTTGTGTGATGGTAAGAGGGTCTCATTTTGCTTCTTGCCTATGCTGTGGGCAATTGCCTGCAATGCCCATTTAGTTCATGGGAGGTGCTGCATTTCCTAGGGGAAAGAGCCCTTTTTTAAAGGCATTTTTTCAGTTGGGATTTGTTTGTTAATGTATGTAAGGCTTGGGGAGGGCAGGGAGCAACCTCAGTCCTCTATGTAGAATCCTAGAATCATTTAGGTTGGAAAAGACCTTTAAGATCATCGAGTCCAACTGTAAACTGAACACTGCCAGGTCCACCGCTAAACCATGTTCCTAAGCACTGTGTCTGCATGTCTTTTAAAATACCTCCAGGGATAGTGAGTGACTCAGCTGCTTCCCTGGGCAGACTGTTCCAATGCTTGACAACCCTTTCAGTGAAGCAATATTTCCTGATAACCAATCTAAACTTCCCCTGGTGGGAACTTTAGGCTGTTTCTCATGTCCTATCACTTGTTACCTGGGAGAAGAGACCAACACCCATCTTGCTACGACTTCCTTCCAGGTAGTCCTAGAGAGCCATAAGGTCTCCCCAGAGCCTCTTTTTCTCCATACTAAACAATGCTGGTTCCTTCAGCTGTTCCTCACAGGACTTTTTCTCTAGACCCTTCACCAGCTTTGTTGCTCTTCTTTGGACCTGCTCCAGCACTTCAATGTCTTTTAAGGTTACAGGGACTTAGCAGTGTAGAATGTCCTTTTAAGTAATGAGGAGGAGGTGCCCTCGGTTTATAGAGAGATCATTTTATTTTGGTTATTGAAAGTGGATATTAAAGACAGACTGCCTGAGAATGGAGAAAGGGATTAAAAGACTAGGACGAGGATCTCTTGCTTCATCTGGATGAATATAATTCAGAAATAGTTATTATACAAACATATGAATTGGTGTAGGGTTTGTATGTTGTCAGCTAGATTTGTTGCTTACTGAAAATAAGTGGGTGGACCATTACTTCAGCTTAATTCAAAAGGGCTTAAGTAAGGTAAGGATTCAGAAGAAACACTCTGTCTAATTAGAGAAGAGGCTAATATAATGAGCCTTGACACTGAAGCTATGAAGAGTCAAGCATGGCTACTGTCTGGGACCAGTACTATAAAATGACTAAATAGGAAATAACCTCAATGCGTTAAATATTCTAAAATCTTCCTTAATGTGCAGGCAGAAAGTTTAGAGCAAGTCACTGGGGCAAGGATGACTCCCACTTGCATACTACTATATGGAATTTTTCATTTAGTACTATGTACTTGAGTAATCATGAATATTCAATTGAAATACTTTTTAAAAGTAGTTTGTAAAATGCAAGAATGCTGTGGAATAAAAGCACTTTAAATCCTTTTACGAGAGATTGACTCATGGGGAGGGTTGCCCCGTTACTACTGTCTGGGATCATAGGCAATATTTGTTTTACTTGAGCAACTGTGCTGCCAGCTAAGTCTTTGAGAATGTGTTGTTTACTATATCTAATTCATTTTTTTCTTTTTGTTTTAGCTAGCTGGGGTGGCCTTCCTTGCAGCTGGTTTGTGGGCATGGAGTGAAAAGGTAAGGGTAGAAATGACTGGTTCTACTTTGCTTGGTGGCAGCCCTCTCCTGCCCCAGTAAAACTACTTTCCTTGGGAAGCAACAAAGGTTAAATGTCACATCAGAGCTCAGGACCATGTTCAGGTGATCTAAACCGAGTTTAGTTGGAGTTTCATTTTTGTCCCTGATCAGGTGCTAAGCTGTGGCCCTCAATGTTTAGACCTTTTTTGTAAATTTGTAAGAGCATGATGCTAGGGATAATTTAATTTTTTATGAACTGGTTCTCTTTTTGAAAACATGTGTTCTAAAATATACTTATCTACCCACCTCTTTTTCTTAAAACCACATACCATTTGAGAGGAATGTAAAAGATCTCACTTTTTTTTTTCTTCTATTAAAAATACCACACAACACGCATCTTTGGGACCATCTCTGAAGTATTCAATAATCTTCAGGCTATCTGTTGTCTTCCACTTTACTCCCCATGGAGTTGCTTGAGTGATTGTGTCACAATCTAGATTATCTTAGTGCTGAGGTATTTGTGCTCCTTGCCCTGGCTCCCTATGTGTGTGCACACATTCTCATAACTAGATCAGTGATATCATTGATACACAGTATGCAGCCTATCTCCACACACAAATGCATTTACCTCCTATTCTATTGTTATAAAAGGATTTTCTTTCCAACCCTTTAGGGAGGGTGTTAAACTTGTCTTGAATTTGTATTCTCTCATGTTCAGGCATTATCTTCTGTAAAGATGCACATAAGATCTGTGTGGTTGGAAATGACTAGGTCTCAACTACCTCCATTTTCCCAAATGGGCTTCATGATACCTTGAAATTACTTAAAGGCAAAGAGAGATTCACTCTGTCTTTATTTCTTAAATTTTGGCTGAACTATTTCTGCTCTCTGTCCTGTCTTGCAAATAAGTGCTTTAAAGCTTTTCCTGTGGTTTTTGACTCCTGAATGGCTCATGAAATCTGTACATTGTTTTTCATGTCTGTTCTGTGCTTTGTGGACAGTCTTTTATACTAGTGCCATTCTTCAGCCATAGTGCCTGCATGGATCTGTCTGTTTACAGATAAACATCTTGGTGAACAATAGATAGGAAGTAAGAGAAAAACATTCCAGAAGCTGTGCTGCGGTGAACCCTAAGATAAACTACAGGTGGTGAAAGAGTTTTGGACATCCTGTCTCTTAGTGCAGCATGAAGTACATTGGGTCCCTTTAACTTCTCTGCTTTTTCTTGTCTTTTCCACTAGGACTACACTTCAGATTGATTCATCAGAAGTATTTTTTTTTTTTAATATAAATCCTATGCATCTCTTTTAGCTGATAATATATGGAAATGAGAATGCTGTTTTGTGAGAAATGTTGGAAGTACTATATGTAAAAGGGTTACCCATCCTGATTTGCATTGCCTGTTTGAGTCAAATTCAGTCTCTTTAACTGGTGTATCTAATTGGCCTATACTTATGACCTTTAACTGGGTTTATTATTCTGAACAAGTTACATTGCATAAAACTGAAAGTCTACACAATAAAAACTGGATAGATGTTAGTATCTGTCACCCAAGAGATGTTGCAAAAGTCAGTAAGAGAAGGTGAATTATTATAAACTGTTAATAGAAGACAGGTGAATAACACTGGTCCCTCTCATCAGGACAACAGTTTTTATTGGTAAAACCATTTCAAGAAGGACACAAAGGAAGAGCTGTGGAACTAGAGGCTAGGCAGCCTAACTTCACTGCAGCAGGTTTGTAGCTGATAACAAATACAGAGGGAGCCATCAGTCTACTTTAAAGCAAGACTGTTATTCAGGGGGTCTTCAAGACCATGGAGACATGGGTTGACAGGAACCTTATGAAATTTTATTTAAAAAAAAAAAAAAGCTAAATGCACAACCTGAGATGAAGTAACCCCATGCATCAATATGGGCTGGGGATTGGACTGCCCAGGAAGTACCTTTTTGAGGAAAATCATTGAACTCCTCTTTATCAGTAAGTTGAATATCAGCTGTGTCCTGCTGTTAAGGCCAATGATATACTGCGCTGCATTAGCACCACTGTGGCCTGGTCGAGGGAGGAGCTGCTTCTGACAGTATTCATCACACCTGAGGCTGCATCTGGAGTGCCATGTCCAGTGTTGGGCTCCCCTGTGTCAGGCAGGTCTTTTACAACCTTAACTTATTCTATGATTAAGTGTACTTGTTCTTTAGTCTGCTGATCTTTTTGTTTGTACACAGAGGTATGCAAACTGTATAAAGGTATATGCATGTAGCTTGTGTTATAGTCAGTGGCAGTGTGATATTGTGACAATCAACATCGAGTTTACGGAACTTCGTTGTTGGAAATCAACCCTGTCCTTGTCAGATGTATTTTGTAGTTTGCATACTAGTGCATCTCAAAACAGTAAGTGGTTTGGTATTTGTTAATGGGCTGTGTTAGAGATTTATTTTTTTAAATACAATCCGTGTTTGCCCTCTGTTGCCAATGCACTTCAGTTGATATGGTGGCATAATGCTCACAAACATTAAAAGAAAGTGGAAAACAAATTAAGCATGTACAGTTGAACTCTTAATTCGCTGTTCTAAGGGGCTGAAAGGAACACTTAAAGGCTGATTTTTGTTCTTTTTTTTTTTTTTGACACTGACTTCATGTATCAGACTTCATTTCTGCATACCTCAGTCTTCTAGATTTTTTTTCATTTTTGAGTCATGTAAACATATTCTGTGCACATCTAGGATGAGGGCTGTAGAAAAACCTGTTGGAATACTAGGTGCTGTTGTAAAAGGGCAGCCTGTGCTTCAAAGAGCTTTTACCATACTACAGATGGCACAGGCAGAAGCCTCCTTAGAGAGCTGAGTAAGGTGGAATGAGATAGTCCCCTGCATTAATTATCTTGTTTACTTTCTTCCTTCAGGATTTTTTACTCAATATATTTTCATAGGCAAAAAAACCCCCACAACATTCTTTTCAGAAGAGAATGTTATAAACATCAAATGTGAACATGAAAAAACTGTTATGAACCAGCAACATCTGAGGGTGAATAATAGAGCCCAGTTCCTGACAACTTTTCTTCATAACATGCGTTGATCAGAGGAAGTTTTCTTCTAAAAGATGTTCCTTGAGCAAGCGAGATTGTCTGAAAAAAGCATGAGTTTGGGTGTGGGAAGGAGAAGGCTGGAAATGCTCGTTAAAGTTTCAACATCCTGGTCACACAGGATTTATTTCATAGTGTATTGGTTTTACAAAGACATTGAGTTAGCCTAGCTAATCTTGGCATGTCTTCCTTGATTGTGGGGTCTGAGCCGAGGTTTGGTTAGGTGGGACTCGGGTAATTAATCCAGTAGACCAAGTCTGATAAAGTTAGCTGTGGGGTCTTACAGTTTGTGAGAATGGAAATGTGTCACTGGTGACGCTAACTGGAAAAGTCTTTGCTTCCTAAGACTTTCTGAATGCTGGGAAATCTATAAAACATGAACATTTTTTAATAGGCTATTTCAGCTGTTAGTCACTAGTTTTTATCTTTTCATCCCTTCAACCAGTTTTGGTAGAAACAACCCTTT